TTCTTGGCTAGATTGTCTGAAAACATATTAGCTGCTTCTGGAGTGACGAGCATAGCTTGCAGGTGAAGTCCTGCAGCAAGAGCGTGCTTCTAGATCATCTAATGAACCGGTGTCAAACAGTTACGTTTTCAACAGGCTGACCACTCTGCAGATTTCTTTCAAAGCCTGAATTTTCTGCCAAGCAGTGATTAGGTCACACAGGACAACCAAGATCACGCGGTAGGAACTTCTGGCTTTACATCTGTCAAAATGTCTGTCTTGTCTCTGCTACAGGAAGTTTCCGAGATCCCTCATTATACACATCGTGGCTACACCCTCAGGACACTTTTAACGCGTGGAAAACACCCAGAGCATTTAACAAGTACGAGAAGTCTGCTGCTTTGGTCAGCAATAGCCAGTTCTTGCTGAAACCGCTCGACAGTGTTGTAGGAAAAGCTTGGAATATGTTTGCATCCAAGTAAGTGACAATAACTGCCAATACCTTCAGCGTTAGCAAAATCATTGTAAATACAGCTTGTTCTTTCCCCAAAGTAGTGATGAATAAGCATGAAGGCTGTTCCCACACCTTACTGGGAACGTTCTTGTGCTTGAAGCGTGATGGCAGGGTGAGGAACACAGAGCAGTGCTTACGTTCTGTAGACGTGAGACCACATACTCCAGTGGTGTTAGTTTGACTATTTTCTCAATATTAAAACTCCCCAAATTTAGTGCATTCCGGTGTGACCATTCTAAAAATAACACACAAAAACTCTTTTACTGATCATGTAGTTTCTAAATTGTGTACAGACATGCTGCACAGTCCAGGAAACAAGTTCCTGGCTCAGGTCAAAAACATTTAGGGGATTTGTGTGGTTAGTAAGGCTCCCGCGCTATTAGTTCGATTTTTCATTAGTGTTGTGGTTTAACCAACCTCAGCTGGCAATTAAGTACCACACGGCCGCTCGCTCACCTCCCCCCTCCTCCAGTGGAGGAGGAGAATCAAAGGAAAAGACAAGGAAGCTCATGGACTGAGATAAGAACTGAATATAAAGGAATAAAATAGTGATACTAATAATATTAACTACCACTAACAACATTTAATGAAAATAGAACATATGATACTGTTGCTCACCAGCTGCTGTCAATGCACAACCAGGTCCCTTTTAGTGAGAGTCAGAGCCCAAGAACCGGAGACGCAGGGCGATGGCAGCAGAGTCCGAGTGAGCCCCATGATGGCAGGATGAGTAGAAAACCAACTGGCCCACCAACCCCCTATCTAACTAACACACAGATGAGCTAACAAGCAAACGAGCAGGCTATGGCCCCCTGGCCCACTCCTGGCTTATGTACGGAGCATGCCGTGCTACGGAATGAAATCCCCCCTCGGTCAGTTTGGGTTGGCTGTCTGAGCTGTGTGTCCCCTGCACACGTACTGCTTGTAGTGAGAAAGGTGGGAATGCAGCCACAGTATCAGAAGCTGCAAAATTCCTTGAATTAGTGCAAGTGCTCCCCAGCACCAACTAATAAACACTTTATCAGTACTATTCTCAGGGCAAATCCAAAAACATAGCTTCATCCCAGCCACTGTGAAGAAAAGTAACTCTGTCCTGACTAAAACCTGCACAATTAGACCCAAGAAATCTAGAAAATGACTGCCTCTCTACTTGGATCGTCATGAAGCCAAGGACACAGCAGCTGCCTGCCAAGTGTGAGTTTCTAGCACAGGAATTCTGCAATTAAAAGCCAAAGGAGGAAAACTGCTGCCACCAGCTGTGCTCCTAGAGTTACAAGATCACCAGAGATGAGGAGCGAGCTCTCCTGCATGCACAGCTTTAGGCTTTGCCCCTCAAGTCTATAAGTCAGTTTTCTCGTTTAATAATCAATTATCCTTCCATTTCCCAGTTAGCCCCATTTTGTTAGCTGCAATTTTGATTAAAAACAAGTCATAACTTACCAAGAAGTATGAACTAGGAAATGAGTTTGAGAGCACCGTAGAAACCAGTGTGGTTACTGGGTGGAAACCATCGCTTGATGTTGGTACAGTAACTACGCAGTCTGACTTCATGTGTCATATTCTTCACTCATCTCTGATGTCTTATCCATTTCCCACTGTGCCTTCAACACACAGAGCCTATATGCACCAGTATACGAAATTCGGAATCGAAGAGGAAGATTTCCTGGACAGCTTCACAACCCTGGAACAAGTTATCTCCAGTTACACCACCCTTTGATTTTCTCGAAAGGTCTGAAATAGAGCTTTTCCAAAAGAACCCAGCACTGGAAAA